GTCTGACCGGGGACAGTGCTTACTGTACCCATAGAGTGCCCTGGCATTAGAAGCCCTACAGCTTCCAAGGCTCTTTTTCCTTCAAAGACCTCAAAGCATTGAAGTAATTTGCCATGGGCTAAAAAAAAAAAAAAAACCAACAAAAACATTTGGGAACTCTTCCTGTCAGCACCAATATATGTATCTATAAGGAACAAATGCAGGGCTGATAGAAGGCCCAGGTTACTGAGAGGTGCTCTGGGACAAATGATTTCTGTGATTAGGAAATTAGTAGAGCTTAAAAAAATTTAAAAAGGGATGAGGCTAGTTACAAAGCCAGGCTGCCAGGGTTATGAGTCACTGATATGATACAGGGTGGAAATTCTTCTCTGTTTGTGCTATGGACTGAACACTGTTTTCCTCCTATGATATGATAGAAGAAAACTAGTTTGTAACTCTGTAATATCTCATACTGGGCAGGTATATGCTTGAGTTTTGTTCTTGCTTTTAGTCAATATGCTTTTACATGGGAAGTGCCTTGATGTGTGCAGATTTCAGTTGTATGCATATTGCAACAAGGCACTATTGTAGACCTCAGCTCTTGTCATCAATGTGTATGTTTGCTGCAGTTTTCAAAATGTGAGCTCTGTGTTGGTTTGAATGTTGCATTAGAGCACACCAGAAGTCTTGCAGGTATTCTAAGCAGTCAGACTTTTTGGAGTGCGTACCACAAGTCTTTTCAAGACAGCCACTAGAAAATCTAGTAGAAGATCTAGGGTCTGGGAAGGTAACAGAGAAAATGAAAGTGTTCTCATCAGATATTTCACCACTTTCTACTAACTCTCCTAGCCTAGAAAATGATTGATTTTTACCCAGGAGATGGGGTTTTTCCATTTAAAAATGAAACTACAACTATCAACAGGCCAAATATAAAAGTGATGTTTAAAATAATCATTCGTGCGTACTATGAAAGAGAAATAGGCATTTCTGAAGGAATATACTGTATCTTCCAACTAGGAGTTGTAGATTAAACATAATCAGCAAGCAGAACTATAGTATACACCAATATCTCACCCAGGACTACAGCTGTCAACCTGAGTGGTCTGAGTTTTCAAATACTCCTAATAATTGGGAAGATATTTTTAAAAGAATTTTTCTTAACAAAGAAGTACAAACATTTCTCCTCTTTTTTACAACTAAGCGGAAGGAAAAGAAGTCAGAAGCAGCAGCATGATTCCAGTCTTTTCACCACATGGTGTATCATAAAGCTGATGAAGCACAAAAATCTCAAAATGAAGAGCATCAAATCTGCATGACAAGAAACCAAAAGAACAAATTTTAATTGCACATCTCTTTCACAGACTTTTTCACTAATCATTTCAATTTCTTGGAATTTGTATCCACTCAGCTATCAGCTTAGGCATGCATCTGAAAAGGAGCCGAAAAAAAGTGAAGATTTATACAAGTTTTAAATTCACTTGCTCAGCAGTGCAGAATAGCTAGTATGCATGGTAATGCATTCCCCATTTCTGTTTCATAGAGTTTAAGTATATTTAAAATTTATGTTCTGGATGAAAGAATTTTAATAGTCTGTATTAGGCTATTCCCTCTGCCTTTAAAAATGTGGCCTGAATTACAAGAAGATGGAAAGCAATAGGCAATAACATCCATTTCTTTCAGAGTGTCCAGGATTTCATTCCAGAAATGATTTTTCAGACTTATGGGAAGAAGCATAGTGTTACTAAAATGTAGCCTAACTCACCTTTTGTTCAGTGTTAGGAGTGAAAAGTGGTTTTATCCATTCGAAACCATGGAGATCGTTTAGAGTAATAACAGCACAGTGATTCCAATGGAATTTAGTAGCTGGAACAAGCCCTTCCTGGCTGTTTTAAAATGGTTCACAATATGTTTGTGGTTGCACACCACCTGCTGATAGCACGAGCAGTAATGTCCTGTATCAGGCTTTGCAGAGGAGGCCTTATGGCTGCCCAGTGGGCACCGAATGCACACCAGGTGTTCTGATTTTGTGTTGTTGCGGGGAGATGTAATTAGACCTTCTGTGGCTGAAATACTGTTGACCATTTTTGCTGTGCATATGTGCATGTGCATTTTAAGCATGACACATCTGTCTGTGACTCCCAGTGAGTCCTGAAATACACAAATATACTACTCTTTCAGACAAACAAGCACGAGAATAGTTGTGTAGTATAAAACAGTGCCTAGAAAAAATATTGGTCTGTGTTTTATTATTACAGTGTCATTACTGTGTAATGGTAATTACATTACTGTATTGCATGATATTATCATACAAAACAGGGAATGCCTATAACCGTACCCTATATGAGGCCTGTAACTATAGCTAAACAGGATATTGAGGTACATAGTTGTATCGTTCCTGACAGCCTTCCTAGTGTAGGCACAGAAGATGGATTTGAAACTATCCTTGGAGTACCCCATGCCAGCTAAAATCGAAAAACTTTGATTATTATGGCTGGCAACAATTGCAATATCTTATATAATTAGCTTTCCAGGTACTCTCTCCAGTGTCATTAGAGGAGGAAACAATACAGTTCCTCGCTTAAATCCAGTTAAAGGTAGTGGGCTATTTTTTTTTCCTTTTTCCTTTTTTTTAACTTATTTTTTTCTTTTATTCGGGATCTGTGACCTTCAACACAGCCTCTGCTGAGGATGCTTCTTTGTGAGAGGTGTTAGCCATGACTCATTCTCTCTCGACACAGGTGAATGTGTACACCACCTCTTTCACAGACTTCTGGAGTCTGAACATTGTTTCAAAGTTTTTCTCACTTTTACTTTGGCACTTGATCCATTGCACTATTACTCAAGCTCCCTCATTATCAAGAAACATACAGCAGTGCTATGTTTTAGAAAGCTGGAAATAATAGGTACTTAAAATTTCCCTACTGAGGGGGGAAAAAGTATTTTTCAGTAACTTTCTGGTGGTTGCATTTACCTCAAGACATGCGAGTAGAAGCAGCTTTTAAAATTCCTGTGGCTATCCATCATAATATTGTCCCCTTCACAAATCATGGAGAAAGAATTGTCTTTTACCCTTCTGGAAAGCAGGTCGTGGCATACCTGCTATACACGACAAGCCAGCCAAGTGAAAGGTGATAGCTTATTTCCGTGCCCCCATGTTTCTTCTGCTACACAGAGCTGTGGGGTTGGGAGAGACCTCACAAAAGACAAGTTGCTTGTCTCCTCCTGTGCATGGAGAACCCAGGATGGCCCCAGAGGAGCTGTATAACTTGTTCTGCAGAGTGTCCAGTGAGGAGATCCCAAAATCTGTGCCCAGACTGTCTCACAGATCAGGTTGAAAACTTTTACTAGCATAGTGCTTAACAGTGCCTTATGCTAGTTAAGGACTTCTCTGTCCTTATCCAGCAGGACTATGGTGAGTTGACTGTGGCTCCCCCCTTCCTAGCAGAATGGGGGAGAGAAAACAAGAGGAAGAGAAGGAAGAAAACCCCTGGGTCAAAATAATGACAGGGATATCACTCACTGAGTAATTTTTTATGTCAGACAGACTCATCTTGTGGAATTTAACTTAATTTATAGCCAGTTAACATAAATATTTAATTCTTTATCAGGTATTATGAAACAAAAGAGGCAAAGATGAAAAATATTCAGGGGGGAAGAATGTCTCTCCTTCTCCCAGGCTCTCTTAACTCCAAATATGTGTCCTCCATGCTACCTCATCACAGCCTCACTCAGACACCTCTCACAGCTGCAGGTGACAATCAGTCCCTTCAGAGCAGCCTTGAGCAGTGCAGGGAATTGGAGTCCCTTTTTCTCTGCTGCTCCTTCCTTCTTGCACTTTTCCTGTTCTCCACAGTCTGCAAGTCCCTCTGGGGGTGTACCTGCTCCTCGTGAAGCACCTTCTCCCTGAGCGTAAGTGTTCCTTCATTCCCTTCTCCTTCATTGTGGAGCCTGCTAGAGCTGGGCATGCCTAGTGTGGGACAGACCCAGTTTCTTCTCCCGGCAACCACCTTGCAGCCCCTTGCTCCCAGAACTTTTCTGTGGACACCCAGTCGTTGATTGCTCTCCTCTATTTTAATTAACTCCTATATATTGAAGATTGTTTTGTTCCCCCACAAGTTGCTTTTTTTCCTCCAGATTAACTAAATGTACTTCCTTCAGCCTTTCCCCATAGGTCTCATTTCACTTTCTTTTGGATTCTTATCATTTCATCTGTGTCTTTTATAATATGTCCTGCCCGAAACTGGATGTAAAAGATGGGCAAGGACTTGTCTGCCTTTAGAATATGACATAATTGCATCTCTTGCCTTACTTCAGACAGTTATTGCACAACAGATGAATATATTTTGTTTTGCTTGTGTCTGATTGGTTTCTGTTTAACTGTCTCTCCACAGCTTTTTTAATACATGTTAATTTCTTCTTCTGAAGTGCAGTATGAAGCAAATTCTTAGTTTTGTCATGTTGATTTTGGACAGTCTCTCCAGATTGCCTAATTTGTCTGCAGAGTGCCTGCCATCCCCTTGGGCTTGGAGACCTTCTCCTCTCTCTTTCCCTGTTCACATGGGAGCTCACAGAGCTCTTCCAGCAGGGATCTGCTGTCTCTTCCCCTGCTGCCATGTGTACCAGTGTTCAGTACTCATCTGCTAGCATTTCCTAAACACATTGCGCTCCCATGTTGGTATTTCAGGCCTTTTGGTTTCCCTCATCAAGTCTCCAAGCTGCCTGTTACACCTCATACTTTTCATTGGGCTATGAGGATTTTTAACAAGCCCTACTTATATTTTTCCTTACTTGTCGAATCTGTGTACAGATTATGAAAATGTTTGGCAGATTTAGTAGCCCTCTCCCACACCATGGAGCAAGTGATGGCCATGTTTCAGCAAGGCTCAGACTGACACCCAGCTGCCTTTAGGAACCATGGAGCAAGTGAAGAGCATGGCTTTGAGATCTGCATTTCGTTGAGCTCCATTTATGGTCATAGAAAAATAAAGTCATCTAATAAAGAATTTGAATGTGTGTTTCAGCCACGGGAACAAAGAAGTATTTTCTTGTCGAGGAATCAAATTGGCAGTAGACTGGTTTTTGGAAAGAGGCCACAAGGATGTTACTGTGTTTGTGCCAGCATGGAGGAAAGAACAGTCAAGACCTGATGCTCTTATAACAGGTAAGCTCCGTTCCATCTTCAGTGGCTTGTTTGATGCTTTGCACATCTTGAGTGCTACTGCTCAAATGAACAAATGCTTAGACATAAAAGGTTCTAATAGAATATCTTTGGGGTAGTAACTTCCTTGTGATCTTCCCAAGTCCTCCTTTTCTGCTCATCTGATCAAGTTTCCATTAACGTTGCTACTTACTTCTTGAAAGAATGTAACTGCCATTTTTTAAATCTGCTATACACATGCATCATTAGTAGTGAAGAGGTTTGAAGTGAGTCATTTGCTGGGTGATCTTTATTGTGGTGAGCAGATTCTGCCAGGCTGGCCTGTCTGCTAGTCACCTGCAGTGAGTCACTGCCTGTGCTTCGGGTTATGGGAATTATCCTGACAGAAAGGGAATGGTTTTCTTTTCATTGTTACTATTAACAAGAGAGAAATTTTGAATATTTTAATTTTGAATGTGTTTATCTAGAAAAAAAATTGCTGTAGAGGTATTTATTTCTTGATGCATTTAACAGGTTCTGTGTGAAGGCTGGAGAGGCATGCTCCATCTGCCCTAAAGATGAAACAGAGGGGAATTTGGGGTTTAAAAAACCCCTAGAATTTAAGGAGGGAAAGGTGTTTTTTTTCGGAGGGAGGCCCAATGTGGCTACCTTTAAAGGGGGGAAAGCTTTTGAGAGTAGTAGATCTAGCTTCTAAAGGGAAACATGTTTTGATTGCCATGTGCATTTTCAGATATCTGGAAAGATTTTCATTCTCTTTGCTTGATTGCTACTAGAATATATCATGTTAATGCAAGAAAATATTTGGAAAGTTGATGTTCTCCCATCCTCACAAGCAGTGCAGAGCCTTTCTTTTGAAGCCATTCTCTTTAACTGTACTAGTGTTTAAGGTATGGGAAGAACATTGGCTAAGTAATAAAAATTTGGCTACTTAGAAATAAACTGTGACATCAGCTAGAAGTGTGCATAGGGCTGGAAGTCCCAAAAGGAGTTTCAAGAAAGTAGCAATGCACAGAATTGACCAGTTGTCTAATAATGAGAAATAAGTTTTCCATGTGTCATCGTGGACCCTGAAAATGGGAGGAAGATCAAAGCAGGTTATTGTATTTTCTGTAAAACAGAGGTTCTTCAGTTTTCTTGTCAGGATGCAGGGAGCCTGTGTGCTACCAGTCTTGTGAAATACATTGTGCTGACACTCCGTTTCCAGAGATACGCACCTGGAACATGTGACCACCTGGAATTTTGAAAAAGCCCTAGATGACTAATGTGAGGATGGCTCTAGACTGTCAGTATTCATGAGAAGCCTCTTGGACTAAACAACAGCCACATCTTTGTTATGAGTACCTGCCAGTCATCACATGGCAGATTTTTTTATTCTTTCTTACTAGGGAAAAAAATCAACTTCCATCACACTGTCATTCATCATTTACCATATTGTGGAGGGGTGAATACAAAAAGGTTATATTTGATTTAAAATCTTGTGCTTTTTCTCCTAAGCAGATAAATGCTTGTATCAAATATATTGCCTATATGTAATATTAATGCTGTATTTCTTTCTGTTGGAGTCTTTTATTTTCAGATGGAACATGTTCCCTGTCAAGTTTCTTATGCTACAAAACAGTTGAGTTATTTGAGATCTTAACCATTATTAAGAGCCATGAGTCATACTCTTCTGCTGGTTTAGATGTTGCCTAGTTTTTTTCATATTTTTCTTTCATAGCTTGTCTGCTCTGAGGAGGGTGATAGGCAGGAGAATTAACATAAGGGGTAGGTGCCCCAGTGCTAGGTACAACCTCCTTAGTAGCCTGAGGTCCATCTTTCAAAGCTCCTTGGGATCTCCAGCTTCCATACAGACAAAGAGAAAATGCTTTTGGATATGTGACTGACAGATTGTGTAGGACAAGAAGGAATTACATAAAATGCTAAATATGCTTATTTAGCAGGATTAAAGGGAAATCTGTTTGGCTTTGTTAAGAATTTATGTATAAACAATATGTAAACCATTCAAGGAGAGGTACAATCTGAACTATTGCTGATGTTAACAAAAAAAACCAAAACCAAACCACCACCACTTTTGCTGTTGGTTACAAAATGACATCAGAGGTCTTTTTGGGGATGCTGTTAATATTTGTGAAGAACCTGAGTGCTTGTACTGAATGTGGGTTTTCTAGTACTTATGGGTAGCAACCCTTTCTTTTGATGGGCAGAGACTTTTATGAGACAGTCCCATTAATGTGAGCTACTGGAATTCTTTCAAAACGTGTTTCTTGCTGGGTACCACAAATAGATGAAAAAGGTCTGTCTTTACCTAGGAGCTCAGTTACGGGAAACCCATGGCTTGGCTATATTCCTCCTACTCACTGAAACATTCAGTGATGTTTAAAACCACTCCTTCAACCAGAGGAGTTTTTCACGGGTGTTTTGATTCCTCTTTTGAACCAGAGGAATGTGAACGAAATCTCCTTGTGTTAGAATTCGAGAACTAGTGTGGAGCAGGAGGTTTTGATTTGTTTGTGGGTTTTTATTGGAAGTGTTGCCAGCTGACTGCTGACTCTAACTTCAGATATCATATATCGGACACCTTCTGCTGGACTATAATCATTTAAAGACATTTTTAGTCTAAATGTCTGGATTTTCTTCCTCAAATCTAATGTCTTTAGAGATTAGACAAACATATTTCTTTTCTTCCTTGTTTAACTTTTGACTGTTATTCCTTGTAGATCAAGAAATCTTGCGTAAATTAGAAAAGGAGAAGATTCTTGTGTTCACACCATCCCGGCGAGTGCAAGGGAGAAGGGTGGTGTGCTACGATGACCGATTTATAGTGAAGTTGGCCTTTGAATCAGATGGCATCATTGTTTCTAATGATAATTACAGGGATCTAGCTAATGAAAAGCCAGAATGGAAGAAGTTCATAGATGAGCGCTTGTTGATGTATTCATTTGTTAATGACAAGTAAGTCATTCTGTCTTTACATGTGCCACTAAAATAACGGAGGAAAGGACTGTTTGAAGATTTGTATGATTTTTTTATCTTACACCCAAATCATTAGGTGCCTGTAGAAAAACAGGAGGAATAGTCAATCTTAGATTTGTTCTTCTAATTAAAAGTACTCAAAACTCTGGTTTTGTAGTGATATCTTTATGTCTTTTTATGCTCTTTTTTTTCTCTTTTGATGTATGCTGATGTATATTTGATGTATGCTATGGTATAATATTTCAAATCTCTTGATATACTGAGCCAGTGTTTCTGAGTGCCTGTGGTTACACTCCTAAGTTCTAGGGTCATAGAAAAAACCATGTTGGAATGAACCTCAGGAGGTCCGTAGTTCAACTGTCTGATTAGATCCATCTATAGTAACTTCGTGCCCTGGCATACAGATCAACTGCAGTTACAACAGGTGGCTTCTTGTGATGGGAGGGACTACGCACTCTGCTGAGCAGACACTTGTATATGAGTGCCTGAACACTGATGCAAGAATCCTGGGCAGTCAGCACAGTTTTGTGAAGTTAGTTGTGGTGTTTTAAGAAAACGCTGCCTATATTGCTGCCCTTACTTTTGATTTAGGGACGGGTTGTGTGCAGCCCTGCTTTGCCACAGAGCGTAGACTGAAGCAGACTATTTCTATGACTCACCTCTCAGGCAGTACCTGCAGCAGAAAGATGGCCTGCCAAAACTGCTCTCAAGGTGTACCTAGGCTTAAAAATTACAAGATGGCAGATTATGGTGCAGGACACAGTCATGAGGTTCTTGGTCATTGCATAAGGAGTATGGAAAGGCTTGTTTGCTTCAGTAATACTTCTTTCCTTTTTTATAGATTTATGCCTCCTGATGATCCTCTTGGCCGCCATGGTCCAAGTCTGGACAATTTTCTTAGGAAGAAGCCTATTGTACCAGAACATAAGAAGCAACCATGTCCCTATGGTAATTTGATTTAACCCATCAATTTGTTGTACTGCTGGGACTGGGGACCAAGCTCCTGCTTTATTTTAACACTGCCAAAAATAAAAACTCTAACATTGGTTTTAACATTGTTATCTTAACCTAATAGTCGTTCAAATGCTGAGCTGATGGTGGAAACTGAAGTGATTTTTTTCATGTGCTAGTTAGAGAACATTTCTATCTATGGATCAACTTTTGGATCTATTCCTATGAATGATTAACAAACAACACCTAAATCCTACAGGCTCCAGAAGCCCTTTTCTAATGTGATAAGACGATGAGGTTTTCTTCCAGAAAATTTAGTGAACTATCTGAAGTTTAGCTACTGAGCAACCCTACAGGCATCTTGACTGAGCTGAAACCTGCTGGTCTTATGACTCTGGGGGACTTTCCTGTTAAGTTTTCTGCCCGTGTATCATCCTGGCCCAATACAGCAGGTGTGTACAGGCACACTGACAGTGTCACATTCAGCTCAAAATGTGGCTGGTAGTGTTGGTCTGCATTCCTAGAGCACTAGCTGCAACACACTACCACTGCCTATTTTTTCTCTGCAATACAAGAGAGACCTTTGATCATGCCCCATGTCACACAAAACCATTTGCAAGACTTTTCGAATCAACAGTAAAACTTTAAATGAGAGGCATTTCTATTATTTGATGTTTATATGATGTTGATATTTATTATTATTTCTATTATATTAAATTCAAACAGATTTTATTTGAAGGGGTTTTTTTATCTGATTATGTTTGTACTAATAGGGAAGAAATGTACCTATGGACACAAATGCAAATACTATCATCCAGAAAGAGGAAATCAGCCTCAGCGATCTGTAGCTGATGAACTTCGTGCCATGTCTAGAAGCACAGCTGCCAAAACTACAAGTGAAGGAGGACTGGTAAAAAGCAATAGTGTTCCCTGTAGCACTAAAAATGATAGCACTTCTGAGCTGAAGCGTGCTGCTCCAAAGAGGCAATCGGATCCTAGTATAAGGACTCAAGTCTATCAAGACTTGGAGGAAAAGCTTCCCACCAAAAACAAATTGGAAACCAGGTCTGTACCTTCTTTAGTTAGTATACCAAGTTCCTCTGCTGGAAAAGCCCAAAGTACTGCACCTTTAACTAACGGCCTTCCATCCGGAGTTCACTTCCCACCTCAGGATCAAAGACCACAGGGCCAGTATCCTACAGTGATGATGGCAACCAAAAATCATGGAACGCCAATGCCTTATGACCAGTATCCAAAATGTGAATCTCCGGTGGATGTAGGGTATTACTCTATGCTGAGTGCATATTCAAATCTGAGTATATCTGGTCCACGTAGTCCTGAAAGGCGCTTCTCCTTGGACACAGATTATAGGATTAGCTCTGTAGCTTCTGACTGCAGCAGTGAAGGGAGCATTAGCTGTGGCAGTAGTGATTCCTACGTGGGTTACAGCGATCGCTCTTACATGAGTTCGCCTGACCCACAGCTGGAGGAGAACTTGAAGTGCCAACATATGCACCCGCATGGCCGCCTTAACACTCCGCCCTTCCTACAGAGCTACCACGAGCCTCTCGCACGAGTGCAAAGCTATAGTCATGAAGAACCAAAGCATCACCACAAATCTCCTATTCCATACATGGCTGTGCATCTGCAGCATCCAATAGTCGGTGCTCGGTCTAGTTGTCCGAACGACTACTCCACATCTCAGAGTTCGCCACATTCAAAAACCATGCACCTGGGGAGAGCCCTTGTATCCACGAGAATAGATAGCATTTCAGACTCACGCTTGTATGATAATTCTCCTTTAAGACACAGAAAGCCTTATTCTGGCCAAGATGGGCTCGGAGGTTGGGATAGGCAGAGTTATGGGATGGATGCATATGGCTACCGCCAAACCTACTCCTTGCCAAGTAACCCCACACAGCCATGTTATGAGCAGTTTGCCTTCCAAAGCCTCCCTGAACAGCAGGACCAGACTTGGCGTGTACCTTACTGTGGAATCCCTCAAGACCCTCCAAGGCACCAAGACACCCGCGAGAAGGTTTACATTAACCTCTGCAACATCTTCCCCCCTGATCTTGTCAGGATCGTCATGAAGAAGAACCCTCACGTGACGGACGCTCAGCAGCTCGCTGCAGCCATCTTAGTGGAAAAATCTCAGCTAGGCTATTGAGAGATGATGCATCTTTGTGGTGTCTAGTAGTTTTCAGCTCAGCTCTAACGCTGAGGGAGGTTTGCTACAATAGCATTTGTGATCTCCTTCTCAGCAAGGAGGTTATATAGTAATCCGTTTATGTGAAATACTGTATCATGGAGTCTGTGTGTATAGCCCCATGCATTGGAAGTACCAGATATGTTTTGTGTTCTAGTTTGAAAATTTTTAAATGGCTATTTTCACAGCTGGAGGATGTTCCAGTTTAAATTAATATATATATATATATATATATATAAATAATCTGTGGTCTCTGGTTATAATCTTTGGTGCATCAGGGGTTTATATGCAGCACTTTCTATCCTTGTTACATGTTGTTGGGATTTTTTGGTTTAGTTTTTTAACTTGCTGGATGCTTGTCCTTGGGCTGTGAGGTATTAAAACAACCTACAGAAAGAGGATTTTGCTACTTCTGGCAAGCAGTTTTCAAGCCAAGTTTGTGAACTTTTTACAACACCAGAAGTATGTCTGATGTATGTTTGTTTGGGTTTGTGAGCTTTTTTTGTGCTGTAATCATCTGTTTATAGAAAACAAAGATTTACTACAGCACTGACTTCATTTTTTTAAACAAATAATTAAGTTACCAGTTAACAGTGAAATGGATAACAATATATTGGTAATTTATAGTATGGCACTTTTCATTATTTTCTTTGTTTATTTTAAATAGTTACATATTTTGTTGATGCAGTCAATTAGTAAGATCAGATGCAAACAGAGGAGGAAAAAAATTTTTTTTTTACTAATTTATGGATATGGTAAAAGCCTTAATGCCTGATTTTCAAAGGTACTGAGATTTTGCATCCCCCTTTGAAGGCAAGAGAAGCTGCAAATGCTCAGAACCGCATCAAATCAGGCCACCCTGTATCAGTTCCCTTGTGTTGTTACCCAGCTCTGTGTATTTCTGGTCAGTAGAAGAGGACCTGAAATCATAGGGTCATGTTTAGTTGTTTTATGTGTTTTTTCTTTGTATTGCTGCATAACTGTACTGGATAAAATATGGTTTTTCATAAAATATTTACCTGTTTTTAAATGAATTTAATTATCTCAATGCAAATTTTGTATTTAAGATACTGTTTGATTTTTCTTGCTATTTATCAAGGCTGGCCTGAAAAGGTTTTGTGTGTTCAGGATATGCAACATTTATTAACTGCACTATGGTAATGATATTGTAGCTCAAAATAATAATTTTAACTTTTTTTTTCGTTTCTGTTTCGGCTGGGGAGGGGAGGGTTGTGGGGAGAGAAGATACCATATGCATTCCTGAAGTTACTTTTTCGCCTTTTGCATCATGTAGGCCTGATTCTTGCCACAAATAGTGTAGTTTTAGAAACAGACAAACCAAGTCTGTTTTAGCATTAGTAAGGGATATTTCTGGTTTTAAATCATGGGTTTTATTAGCACCTCATCATAACCTTACATATATATATATAAATAAAAGAAATAGATATTGCAATTGATGTCAGATGTACTTACATGACGTAATCAGTTGCTGACAGTTTTAGGTTTTCATCCACTATAACAATGTTCAGTATTTAAAAAAAGTCACCAGTTTACACTATTACAGCTGATAATTTTGATACACTTGCTGGAATTTTAAGTAAGGCCCTGAAGAACCAGAAAGTACCTTTTACTGTTGATACAAATTGTATCTTTTTAACTGAGAACTATTTTGATTTTTAGATTTAGTAGAAACACAAATGTATAATTATAACTAGTCTTTTGGGCAACATTTTATCCCTTATTTAAAAATTAGAGATTTCAGACATAGAATAGACTTAGGCAAGTAACAGTAGGTATTTGTTTAGGTGTCTGTCTCAATTTCACATATAAAAAAGAAAAAGTAAGCTATTGGCATCTTCCTTCTAAAATCTTTGTAGTGGGAACCCACTAAAATAAAGGTAAAATGCTGCCTGAAAATTATGTCCAAGCACCTTTGAATATGAAGATGTTTTCACTACTTGTGCGACACCATGTGTTGCAGCAAGTAGAGTTTGGGTATACGGTAAATGCTTCTAAAGAGCATTGTGCTATAGAAATATCCAATAATCTGAACCATGTTCAGCAAACCAATTCAGGACGTAGTGCTCCCGCAGCTCCCACTGCTGGTGTTCTGCAGGTTCTGCCATTGCCCGTCCCTGCGGCAATACCGGAGGGGCTCTCCACCATCTGTCCTGCATTGTCTGTTTAGGGAGAAGACCTCTTCACCTGTGGCAACAGTTTTTCCCTGGATTTGGTTGGTCATCATCTGTAGAGCATGTTTTAAAGCAGAGATCGATGCAGCGCTGATGCTGAGGTTTGGACTGGGAAATGGGTCTCATCTTAGTTTTACACTAAGATTTTTTAAATTGAATTAAACTGAGTACTACACCATAGTGTAGATACAGCTATTTTAATAATGAAATTATTGTATTTGTGTTTTTAATGGGTTTCTATCCTTGTTTTTTATGTAGGGATTTACTTCTGCCAAAAGTTCAATTCCTTTAAGCATGAACAGAAACATGTGCATATAATAGAAGTGATTTGTCTTTATCATGTGAGCATCAGAATGCTTCCTACCATGTACATGTCGCAGTCTGGCCTAGAGCACTGGACCAGCAGGCTTAGCCATGTGGTTATAATGGTGCAAGGAGGTGCGTGGGACCGTGTGTGCTGTGCCCTGACCTGAGCTGTCAGTACTGATTGCCTCTGCATACGCTCAATGCAGTATTGAATCCCCAAAAGTGTGTTGATTGCTAGAGAATTCTTGTAATAGATTCTGTGCTTTGTGCTCAAGCACTGAAAATGCGTTAAAAATGTAAGAGCAGGAGTGATTTGGTGGGTTTTAGTGTTGCGCTAGTTCTCCTTAGACTCTCTTATGTTGGATAAAGCAAATTTACTGTGGACAAAATATACTTCCTTTTGTTTTGCTGAGATAACAGATTGAGGAGTTGCGTGTGAATTCCTCCATGATGAGGAGATCAGTCCTCTTTTAAAGAGGACACTAGTAACAAACATGGACACAATTATACTGGTCAAATACAGCCTTTGTTTATGTCATTGCATTGATGCAAATAACTGACCTGTAATGTCCCATGATACTTAAATAGTAAAGGTAGTTCAGTGATACTGTCTTTACCCCAGCTGAGTTGTAGAGGTGCAGTGAAGGATTAAGTACCTTCAAGTTAGGGCTGTCCCTCTGCTAAGAAGAGGGCAACATGTTCCCTTGTCTTCAGTACTTGAGAGTTGTTTTGATACACAGCAGAAACTCTGTATTTTTAGATAAAATCCCAAGCTGTTGTAGCTACATCAGTAATAGTATATAGATACAAGGTATTTTGAATATACATACATTAGGCATCTGCCCACAACTGTTTTCTATACAACAACTTGTTGCCAATATTTAGTTTTTAAATATGTCCTGTAGATAATTATCTTTGAGCTAAACATGCCCAGGCTATGGCAGTATTAATCACTTTGTTGTCTTTTATTTTTTAAAATGTGTTTGTGGACTCACATATATATATTTGTATATACACACATGTATATTTGGCAGGTGGGTTTAAGATACTGCTAATGGTCTGAAGATCATATCTTTTCAGGTGTCCTGTTTGATTTGGTATGTTTGAGTTGTAGCTTAGTCCTCCACTGCAGAATAGGTCTGGGGAGAGCCAAAAGCCTGATGTGTTCATGTGACACTCCAAAAAGAAGGTGTGCCATTCTGGTGAAGCCCTCAAAGGAGACTTTTGCAGCCTTGGAGTATGTGGACTGTTGTTGAGCTGTTGATGAACTTCTGCTGGGAATGTTGTAGCTCATGGAGAACACCTTTCCAAAAATATCAAAGCTGTCGCTGTAAACCGGAGTACCTCACTTGGAACAGGAAGCTGGGGGCATTTGCCCAGCAAGGAGAGCACCAGAGGACTAAATGCCTTGGGTGAGAGATACTACAGCATCTTGCCACAGTAAGAGACTACCAAAATATTTCAGTTTTATCAGTTGATGCGTTTGACTGAGGTATTTTCGATGTGTAAAGCTTGAAAAGTGAGACACAATGCTTTCCTACTCTCTGGAGCATTTAGAAAAAATACCCAAATGACTTTTCATTGCTACTGAAAATTTAAAATACTGTGCAATTAAAGAGACCATTTTTTTTAATAAAAATAACTTAGGAATTATTTATTTTTATTTACAGTGTGACTTGATAATTTATTCCTGGCATTATAAGGCCATGGTGGAGTGCTGTTTGTTGTGTTTTTTTATCATAGGAACTAAAACTGCTGAGAAGAAAAACCAATAGATTTAAAATTAAAACTATGGCCTTGTTTTCTTTTTTATAAAAGGGCTGAGGTTTTATAAATGTAAAATCATGTGTTTTATATACTTCATAAATTTTAGAGAGGCATAGTTTAAGAATTTTCTTCAAATTAAATATGTATGGGCACATTGTTTAGATTAATCATGTAACTAAACCTAGAATCATCTGTAATAAAATGGTTGCTCCAGATAACCTTTTGCTCAGTAACATGAGAGATGTTCAGACTTCATCTTCAGATGTTCTAGAATACATTTCACGTATCTTAAGGTTTCATCAGAAACTGATGATTTAGGCACCTAATCCCATGGGAAATGTTCCTTTGGTGTGAAACATCCTACTGTGTGCTGGGTTTTTCTTGTTGTGCAGTATAAGGTAATACACTGATTCACATGGACTTATGAAGTAGGTGTTTATAAAGGCACTACCGAATACAGTGTGTGGTTCATAGTTAAGAGTGTGCTTTAAATAATTTATCAGCTTCCATTTTCAGGTCTTAAGGGGTTGTCATAACTTGCACTTGAAGTGTTTATTACTCTGTCTACCCTTTAACCTAAATGATTGCAATAGTTCTCATTCCCTCTTGTACCCAATAGCCCTCGGAGGGCCCAGTCTCCTGAACACAAACACATACCCCTGACTTCAACAGAAGTACTTGCATGGGCCAATTCTACTGCTGTTAGAGAAGACCTGGGTAAAACTGGCGTGTGTGTAAGTGCAGGAGGGCTGGGGCCTTGAGGAACACAGCTGGGGAGCCACCTCCTCCCAAAGAGAGGTGAGATCTCCCTGGTGCTAACAGGTCACTAGGCCAGGATTGCCCTTTGCAGTTGTTGGGAACAACTACAAACCAAATTTCCTGAGCTGTTTAAGCACATCTGTTCTCAGTGTTTCAAAGTATAACGATCAACTCCTTGCCTTATAAAACAAAACCTCTTTGCTTTTTGTAGAACAGCCCATTTTCTTTTGGTCTCAGATGAAGTCTAATTTACCATGTTAGTTTGGCTGGTTGGTTAATTTCTATTTATCTGAATGACATTCTTAATGAAACTGATATTTTAAAACTGTTTTCCCAGCATACTAGAATATCCTGCAAGGAAACAAATGCAGATACAGCAGCAATAATTGTGTTTTGTAGTTCTTTTCCCACTCATTTCCTCTGGACTTGTGTTGAGTAGGTGAGATTTTAATACTGTCCTGAAGTCCACTCTGGCAAAACCATTAGTTAAAAATAATGTTTGGACTACTTGATAAAGCAATTGTCAAACTGGCTCTTCGTTCCTTCACTGGTTGTTCTGTATTATTTCTGTGATGTGACTATTCACATCTTCATACCACCTTTAAACCATACGAAAAACCATGTACATGGATTCTGCTTTTAGAGAAAAAAAAAATAAAGATTCATTTTCCTCATTGATGGGCTGTTTTTGTTTAATTAAAAAAAAAAATCTCTAAAGCAGTTAGCAGTGAGTTATAGCTAGCTTTGTGTTCGTACCTGCACAACGAAACTGCTCACTTTGAGTAAATTAGAACGGTTTCAAACATGGAATCATAGAAATTTTTGGGTTGGAAGGGACCTTAAAGGTCATCAAGTTCCAACCCCCCTGCCATGGGCA